CTAGTCCTAGATCACAAAGATACAAGCAAAACACTTCAAAGATCATTGTAACTGACCTTGCTCTTCAAAATACTCAGAAATGTTAGAATTCACTAGTTACATATATATTATACTTCCATTTTTAAACCTTGACTGTGTATTGGTGGTTTGTGCATGGGACTGAAAAGGAGGCTATTGCTTTAAGATTCAATGTAAAACCAGAGAAATACTAACACAGGAGCAAAGCCACTAAATCTGCTAAAACCATACAATGTTTTCAAAAGCCTTTCTTTGGGTTTGAAAGTTGTGATTGCTTGTCTCATTTTTACGCAATTATTTTATGTTTAACGTTTCTCCAAAAACAAAGAAAAAAGAAAATGCATGTAGGTATCAAAGAAATCATAATATCCACCTATCTGTACATTTGATGTATTACCCTTTTTGAATCATTCACAAAAGAAACAAGTAACTTCCTTGTGAGAAGAATACAGAATAACGTACTCATGATAAGGAAAAGGGAGAAAATGCCAAAAGGCACAAGTAATTTACATCTCAGTAATTCATCTCAACTGGAATATCTAAAAGTTCCAATTTCCATAGCCTTTATTGTCTTTGAGAATTTTTATGAAAAAAGGGGCCAGAATGTAGGCCTTATTTCAGTGTTTGTCCACAATAAACAATCGAAAAAATCATTATGATTAGACTTAATGGTCCATCATTTTCTCTGGTTCATCTACTTTAACACAACTCAACTTAATTCACATGTAAACTTCTTTAATCTTGTTTATGCAGCAAGTCCTCATTTAGCTGGCAGATAGAAAAATTTAAACCCAAGGAAGTACAAGTAAACTGCGGAGCTATATCAAAAGAAAGAATGGTAGCTAATACGAACTGCAAAGGACTTCTGAAATGTGAATTTAAGGAAAAACAGTCACTTTAGAAAATCTGCAACATCTTCCTTCCCTATTGTAAATAGAGCAGCAATAAACATGGGGGTGCAGGTGTCCTTTTGAATCGATGTTTTTGTGTCCTTTGGATAGAGGGAGGAGTGGGATTGTTGGGTCATATGGAAGCTCCATGTTTAGCAGCTTGAGAAACCTCCACACTGCTTTCTATGGTGATTGTACCAGCCTGCATTCCCTCCAGCATTAGAGGAGAGTTCCTTTTTTTCCACATCCTTGCCAACATTTATTGTTGTTAGATATTTTACTATGTGCTGCTCTCACCGGTGTGAGATGGTATCTCGTGGTTTTAATTTGTAACTTCCTTATTACAAATGATATTAAACATTTTTTCATATGCCTGTTGGCCATCTGCATTTCCTCTGGAGAAATGCCTTTTTAATACTTCTGCCCATTTTTCTGATGGGGTATTCACTTTATTTTTGTTGAGTTTCATCAGCTCTTTGTATATTTTTTGTGATCAGTACTTTGTCATGAGCATTGTGTGCAAATATTTTCTCCCAAACAGAGGGTGTCTGTATTGTGTAGTGTCTCTTTTGCTGTACAGAAGCTCTTTAACTTGATGTAGTCCCAGCTGTTTATCCTTTCCTTCACTATCCTTGCTTTGGGTGATGTATCTTTAAAGGTGTTATTGAGGAGTATGTCATGTAGTATTTTGCCTACCCCAAAATGGATGACTGGATTAAAAAGATGTGGTACATATAGACAGTGGAGTATTACTCAGCAATCAGAAAAGAAACTCATGCCTTTTGCAGCAACATGGATGGACCTGGAAGGGATCATGCTTACTGAAATAAGACATAAAATAAAAGAAAAATATCAAATGGGTTCACTTAGAGCAGGAGCATAAGAGATTTTGAGATCAGTTGCAATAAAGTAAAAAGTAAAAATGATAACAATTCAAAACTATAAACCAAAGACATTTTACAGGAGTGAAAAGGGGAATGGGACCAAAACTGGGATGGGAAGAGCACATGGGACTATGGTGAGGGAACACAGGTAAAGTGGTGGTGGGAAGTCCATGGGGATTACAACTGAGATGAAAAAATGCATAAAAAAAAAGAAAAAAATCTGTAACAACATTATTTCTATAATTAGGCTATGGGTTAAATTTCCAAACTTTCAACTGATTCACACTGGAGAAAAAGAAAAAACAAGATGGCTCTGATTAGGGCAAATTGACTATTCCTTAATAAGTTGTTGCTATCCTCTGCCTTGTTTCTTTGTTCTTTAATCATATCCAAGTATGATACACTTGTTCACTCTAAAATATAAAACACAATGCCAGTAACTACCTATCTTAGATATCTGATCCACTGGCTATGCAGATCTGCTAAATCGAAAAACAGAAGTAGTATATTTTATCTTTACAATTGAGAGTCTAGTAATTACAAGACCTAAAAAAAATCAATGTTTAGTTATAAATTTTTATATATGCAACTTTTGTTATGAAAGTAATCAGTACATTTCAGTTGATTTTTGCATAAAGAAATTCAATGAAAAGATAGTTTGCCATTGATCTTTAAATATACCCAAATTAAAGTTGTGAAAATATTTTGCTTTTGGTTTATTTTTTTAAATTTATTTTTAAAGATTTATTTATGCATACAAAACTGGGGTACAGGCCAGAGGTGCAGGGGCCATGAGATAATTCACCAGAGAGAGTGGGGAGCAGAACAGAAGATCAACAAAGCACACTGCTGAGGGGAGCAGTGGCAGGTCAGGAGAGGTCTGCCACGTCATGTGGGTCACCTCCGGGCCGGGGATCCAACCTTCACTGAAATGTCCAAAGCCAGCTTTGCAGTGCTGCACTCCAACCCCCTGCGCCACCAGAGAGGGCCTTATTTTTAGTTTATTTTCACTTTTTATCAGTGTGTTTGCCATATCTATTTCTAATTTTTAAATACACATATTCTGTGCACACAAGAAAAGGATTGCTTTGGAAATTCATTATTTAAAACACTGATTTATAGAAGTCACATCAAGATATGAAAGTATATGAAAGGAACTGACCACTCCCCCGTGTGAATTCATTTAAATTTATCACAGCAAACAGGTTTTCTTAAATATAATTTTGCTGTGTATATTTTGCTATGCTTGATTTAATATCATTTTCCATTCTGAACCCATTTAAGAAAATAATATCCAATTTTGAAAATACATTGAAGAAATTTTTTCTTCTTTGTAGATGGAAAGTTTTTCCTGTGACAAACATTTTCCATACTTGGCCAACATTCTCTAAGTTTATTTGGCTGCTTCTCATCATGAGATCAAATGATGACTGATTAATAAAATGTTTGATATTTATCTAATTAGAATAAAAGATTTATACTCTCTCAATACTCTCAGCCCCCAAAGAGCTGAGTAATAAAAGACTGTCTAAAAAGAAAAAGACTGAGGCCCTCCCTGGTGGCGCAGCGGGTTAAAACACAGCACTGAGAAGCTAAAGCCACTTCGCATGTGTTTGATCCCCACCTGCCCGTTGATGATCCACATGGCCTGGCAGACCTCTCCTGACCTGCCCGCTGCTCCCCTCAGCAGTGTACTTCGTCGGCCTGTTCTGCTCCCCACTCTGTCTCTGGTGAAGCCTCTTGCCGCCCTTGAGCCTCTGGCCTGTACCCCAGTTCTGAATGCACAAATAAATAAATCTTAAGAAAGAAAGAAAATGACTCAATATTACAAATATAATTAAGAATATCACAATGCTTTCTCTCAAATAAAAGTTACTTTGACTAAGTACTATGACAAATCTCCCATCAACTATGAAAGGTTAAGCCAAAAAGTAGCTTCTAGATGACAGTACTGAGTAAAGATATTATTAGAGAAGCCTTGACTAAGA